TGCAGATGGCAGCTAAGTAGAGATAGAACCAAAACATGGTACAATCATAGTAAAAATACAAGCTGAAATCAGCAACTGTAGAAACAAGAATACAAGAGCACAGGCGCTAACACAGACTGGAGCTTTGGGATAAGAAATGAACCTATTGCTCAAACAATTATGGGCTAATTTATAAACCATCTGTCCAGTGTAAATCCGGGCAAATGCCATTCACACGACATTACCACCACCACCACTAGATGACGTTAAGGAGCATGGTAAATTCCTAGGCACTCCTGCACCATCTAGTAGTGTTAATGGTAAGGGTTTATACATAGTGATGTGCCTGGACTTTATGAGAACCCAGTTTGCCTCTGTTCACTCAAGCCTGCTCAAAACCATGACTGCATCCCCTCCTCCCGACCCATTGAGTTGCAGAGACGTGCATTTCCCGCCCCACAGTTACACATCACCAAGGGGCGGGGAAATGCCCCAGCCGCAACTGCCACCACTGATTGGTCCAGTTGGGGGGAATGGCGGTCACAGTTTTGAGTGGGCTTGAGTGAACTAGCCAGCAGGTGAAATCTGGCTAATCAGCTTTGTTGTTGATTGGTGACAGTTGTAATGTGCTTCACAGCACTTACAGGAGACATTAGTGATTTAAAAAAAAAATATAATACCTGTTGACTATTTAATAGAGTTTTTTTTTTATGTGTACTGTATGCGCACACAAGAAGTTGGGGGGAATGGCGGTCACAGTTTTGAGTGGGCTTGAGTGAACTAGCCAGCAGGTGAAATCTGGCTAATCAGCTTTGTTGTTGATTGGTGACAGTTGTAATGTGCTTCACAGCACTTACAGGAGACATTAGTGATTTAAAAAAAAAATATAATACCTGTTGACTATTTAATAGAGTTTTTTTTTATGTGTACTGTATGCGCACACAAGGAAGAGTATATAGAGAATAGTGTTTGCCTGTACTCTAAATGTAGGGGTACAGTTGTATACAATAACTAAGTCTTATTTATAAAATGAGCAAAGTCCTTTCATTCGATTAAAGACCGCCCTAGAAAAATAAGACATTCACTTATAATTTTGGTTGGTTGATAAGTGTTACTGTATGTTAAATTGGCCAATTTAGAATCTAATGTAATAACTGACTAAGATTATGTTGAAAGGCATAAATGAAAGTATCTTACAACAAAAATGTAAGAAGAAAAAAAAAGTTAAAAGAACAGACCAATCTTATTAGCAAATATTTTCTTTTAATAGTGCCCACTGTTTTGTTTCATCTGATCAGAGTTACAATAAAGATTGTCGTTGCATCTCTCATCAGATGCTCTAAAAAAGTACATAACAGAAAAAAATAACAAACACCACAAGAACACTGAAAACAAACATTTTAAACCTGGCTCATTATTTCTGTTATGTACTCTGAGAAAATTCAGGACAAGATACCTGATCCTGCAATTCTTGATCATTTTAGCTCTTGTTGACACATTGCTTGAGCTCTGTCAGGTTGGATGAGAAGCTTTCACGTCTAGCCACATATTTTGGCCTTGACAGGATACGTCTAAAGCTATATATACAGTTATACAGTTAGAATTTCGTTTTACATTTTTTTTCTGGAACATTTGTTTTATTTTCTAATAGGCAATGGGCTCAAAATTGACAACTGATTTTGACCATGCTGATGAAAAAAGTCAAAAGAGCAGGTTGGAAAATGTTTCTCCAATGAACGGAATTGTAACAGTTAATATGGTTTTCATTCTGGAAACTTCATTCATTTCGAAATTGGATTTTAAAGTCATATGAAATTTCGAACGTCATTCCTCAAGTTTCTGATGGCATTATCAAATGTTCTGACAAGATTTTTTTGTATGAAAGTTTGTCTAACAGTGTATGGCCAGCGTTAGACATTCAGGTTCTTGGAGCCCCCAAGGGGTGTAAAAAAAGTAAGTGGATGATTCTTACAAGGGATGCACCCGATACCAAGTACAGTACTCGGTACAAGTACATGTACCGATACTTTTTGAGCTCCAAGACTAGACTAGAGAAAAAGGCAGCTGTCATTTGTAAGGAGCACACGGAGCTTGTGGGATTTGTACATCTCTGTTTTATTGTATGAATTTGTTTTCATAAATATATATAAGTGATGCACCGATACCAGTTTTGCGAGTACAAGTACTGATACTTGTCCAAGTACTTACAGATACAAGTACTGACACTTTTGTTTATGGTCATGTGACAGTTTCTCTAAAACAATATCGACTAATGATTTCAGGACAGTGGTGGAGCGCCAGAGCCAGGTCACAGCTGCAACCCTGGTAGTTCTCATGAAAATGCCGAGTATCGGCACTGGTACTCGAAAAGTATAGGTGCATTCCTAATTCTTACCCAACAGAGTCTATACATAACTGAAGTATTCATTTTGGGTAGACTAGCCCTTTAAAACACAACTACAAAAATAGGCTTTGCATAGTAAGCTATGAATCAGCTATGAACATTATGGGATGAACAATGAATAAAACTTCCAGGTTGCTATTTTGGAGCTAAGCCACAACACATGATAGTAAATCTGATGTAATGCACATAGTGTATATTATCTACATAACAGTAAATTACATCCCTGGAGCTTGTTGGCAAGTATGCAACTGATATGAAAAGTGTTTTGTGGCTGATAACACTTTACATCTCAGACAGCAATGTGTTCAGTGGTTGTAGTCAGTAGATGTCTTGGCCAGCTCATGACCTGCCATAGTATCAGCTGCTATTTATACATTGCTGCTACAAACATCTCTCTTCATTCTGTCCCAATGCCAGCCTTGTCCTTGAGTCAAACTATGATCACAATATACCAGTACATATTGAAATAACATTACATGGTATAATGAGGGTAAATGTTATAAAAGGGGTACATGGAATAATGAGGGTACATCGTATAATAGGGAAACATGGTATAATGAGGGTACATGGTATAAAAGGGGGTACATGGAATAATGAGGGTACATGGTATAATGAGAGTACATGGTAAAATGGGGGTACATGGTATAAGGAGGGTACATGGTATAATAGGGGCACATGGTATAATGAGGGTATAATGGGAGTACATGGTATAATGGGAGTACATGGTATAATGGGGGGTACATGGTATAATGAGGGTACATGGTATAATGGGGGGTACATGGTATAATGGGGGGTACATGGTATAATGAGAGTACATGGTATAATGGGAGTACATGGTATAATGAGAGTACATGGTATAATGAGAGTACATGGTATAATGGGAGTACATGGTATAATGGGAGTACATGGTATAATGGGAGTACATGGTATAACGAGAGTACATGGTATAATGAGAGTACATGGTAAAATAGAGGTATAATGGGGGTACATGGTATAATGGGAGTACATGGTATAACGGGAGTACATGGTATAATGAGAGTACATGGTAAAATAGAGGTATAATGGGTGTACATGGTATAATGAGGGTACATGGTATTATCTGAGTACATAGTATAATGAGGGTACATGGTATAATGGGTATACATGATATAATGGAAATATAATGTGGGTACATGATGAGGACATATGGGATAATAAGCCTACGTGGTATAATGGGGGTAAAAGGTATAATAGGTTTACATGGCATAATGAGGGTACATGGTATATTGGGGGTATTAGGTATGATGAGGTATAATGGGGGTACATGGTATAATGGGGTATAGGGCATATAGATCAGACAGCCGGCGCCTCTCTCTCACCTCACCGCTCGGCCTTAGTTCTGTGACAGCGGCTCGGCCCCCCCTCCCGCGGCTGAAGTGCTTTGTGTCTGATCCCCCGCTGCCTCTGCTCGGGAGAGCAGGGGGGGATCCATGGGAGAAGCTGAGCCCCCGTGTGCGTGGTCGAGCGGCAGAGGATCGGTTCATATCAGTGATCAGCTGATCACTTCAGTGTTTGTAAATAACTGGGTTATAAATGAACAGGATGTGATTTACATCTCTTCCTGTTCATTCATGAGTTTCTCAATGGGGAGAAGCACTCTGTACAGAGGCTCCTCCCCATTCAGAAACTGCTTGATAGTAAAATATTTTCTTAATGAATGGGCAGCCTCTGTGCTTTCCATTCATTTAGAACAGAGGCTGCAGAAAAAGGGATTGAGGACTTTGTGTCCTCAATTTCTTTTTCTATTTTAAAAGGGAAATATCAGGGGGCTGCTTAGACCCCTAATATTTCCCCGAAGCTCCCCCCCCTCCCAAACAGTTAAAAAAAATGTTTTAATAAATAATAAAAATAAAATAAAAAATGTAAAAAAAATCCTGGAGGCAGGGCACTGGGTGACATCACACGCCTGTTGGGACACACACACACACACACGTTTTTTTTCTTGCCTCGGGTGCAAAATGTGCTGGCTACGGCTATGCTCCCACGATGCTCGTGCGACTGCCGGCTGAATGTGTTAGACGCCGCAGATAGAAAGGGGCAGGACATCTCTCCCTATGTGCAACGTCGGCCACACGAGCACCCCGGGAGGACAAGACGCCAGAGCCTCTAGGACGCACTGGAATGTAAGCCGGCCGACTCCCTGCATTCAGGGGCTGGAGGGGGTGTGGGGTTGTATTGAAGTCAATGGCACCGCAGGCATGCCCCCTGCCCACAGGGCGATCGCCGCACCCAGAACGCAGGCACATTAGTGCCTGCATTCCGGTCAGATTGCGAACACGCCCGAGCCCATCACTAGTTGTGCCCTTGTAAGGAGCCTAATAGCCGAACTTTCCTACTTGATGTGATTGAACTGATAATGGCCCCAAGTGGTTCGTTGTTGGTCCCATTAATTGCTCTCACAGTGATTGGGGCAGGAATCCTATCCCGTTATATCCCCAAATGGGATGAAAGTGTTCCAGAGTTGTCACATTCTCCTCAGGCTCACTTATATGTGTGGAATGATGTGGGTCACACTCAGGGATGGATGGATGTCTCAGAGGTCAATAATATCCCTTGCACTCAGAATCCCCAGTGTGCTCCCACATATGTCCCTCACAGTACACGGAGCCCCCCCTCCCCCCGGCCGGTACCTGAGCGGCCCGGCGTGTATTTCCAGGGGGAGCTATTATAGGAGGACACTCGGCCAGCTTCCCTCATTCACAAGACATGGCTGCTTCTACACCTGGCAGGAATGTTCCCCGGACCATCACGGCTCCATCCCCGGGCAGCCCGACTCGCCTCTCCCGGCTGCAGGAGAAGGAGGAGCTGAGCCATCTCAATGACCGGCTGGCCGCCTACATCGAGCGGGTGAGATCTCTGGAGGCGGACAAGTCTCTGCTGAAGCTGCAGCTGGAGGAGAAGGAGGAGGTGACCACCAGGGAGGTCTCCAACCTCAGGCTGCTCTATGAGACCGAACTGGCCGATGCCCGGAAACTGCTCGACTACACGGCCAACGAGAGGGCCCGGCTGCAGGTGGAGCTCGGCAAGACCCGGGAGGAGCACCGGCAGCTGCAGGCCAGGTGAGGGCGGCCATGACAGGAGGGGAGTCGGGGCATTCTATAGCCACACCTGACCCGTCCATTTCATTGTCACCATACACTGTACAATCCCCTATAGGTCCACCACCTGCCCGATCCCATACACATTCAATGAACTGGTCAGGTGCGTCCTCATAGTACATGGTGCTGATAAATCTAACCAAGACTGTCTAATATGAGGACAGACAGACCTAAACTGTGCAACCGATTTGTGTCCAATCACACAGGTATTTGTACTACATCTATAGAAGATTGTGCAATCAGATTATATAAAGTATGACCAGTTTAAGGCTGACCATACACTATACAATTTCCTGTAGATCTGACAACAACTATGTAGTGTAAAGCTCTGCCTGATCGGATAGTTTTAGTAGGCCCTCTTATAAAGCTGGCCATAGGCCTATAGATTATCTGCAGATTTTCTGTGGTCAGATGGAAAAAGTGCAACAGATTCCTCCATCTACGCTAAACTGTGCGGATGGAGGAATCTCCTGCTGGGCCAAGCTTCAGTATCTTGCTAATTGGTCCCGCTGGCTCTCAAAATCCTGAACAATGCCGGTGATCGATCAAAACTACGAACTTCTCGAGTTGTGGGACCGCATTACTTCCGGTTTCCTCACAACTACGAGGTTTTTACACAAAACATGTTGTGCACGAGCGCCATCCACGGCATTGCCCTATAGACATAGACCACAGCAATAAAGTAATAAAATGATGTAGGATGACAGTAAGCCAGCACGTTCTTTATCTCAGGTGCCCCACTCAAGCGGCGGCCATATTGAGTGGGGCATCGGAGATAAAGAACGTGCTGGCTTACTGTCATCCTACATCATTTTATTGCTGTGGTCTATGTGTATAGGGCAATGCCGTGGATGGCGCTCGTGCACAACATGTTTTGTGTGCAAACATCGTAGTTCTGAGGAAACCGGAAGTCATGCAGTCCCACAACTCGATAAGTTCGCACTTACGACATATCACCGGCATCCAATCAGATTGTTCAGGTGTTTTGACAGCCCGCGGGACCGACTAACAAGATACTGAAGCTTGGCCCAGTGGGAGATTCCTCCATCCGCACAGAATCTGTTTTTCCATCTGACCATAGAAAATCTGCAGATAATCTATAGGTGTATGGTCAGCTTTACAGTGGAGCTGCCCCTGCACTGCAAGGGTTAACACCTCATTTTGGTCTAGGGGCTCAATTAAAAAAAACAAAAAACATGTATACATATACACACTCACCTACCTGATCCTTGCTCCCTTCTGGCTGTTAGACCCGTTCCCACAGCCTCCACTGACCTCATCATGTCTAATGCAGGTCCATGTATACAATTTATTCCAGCATGAAGTTTGGGATCCACTCACGCTGGAGTAGGTCTCTCACCCTGAAATATAGTAAGCGATTTATCTTTGCAAAATCTACTAAAAATGAAATTCTCAGATGTGATTGGCTGTAGTAATTGGGTTCCGCAGGCTCACGTGTAGTCTTTGAAAGACAACAGAGCAGTTGGTTGTTAGTACTCGACTACTTGCAAAGAGCAAAAATCAGTTTTGACTTAACCGACCTTTTAGGGCTGCAGCTAAATTGCATCATTTTATACATGTAAAGGAAATGGGCAAGGATCCCTTCACACCAATGGCGCGTGATTAACGTATGGTACAACGCAACGCACCTAGCACACATTACAGTGTGGCTGGTGCGTTGATATTCATTTGAATGGCAACCCAAATGCACTTAAAGGAGAACTATGGGGTCAGTGTTTTTCCCCATAGTTCTCCTTGGGGTAACGGGAGGACACAAACTAGCGTCCTCACGTCACCCTAAGCTCAGTATACCGCGAGCTACAGCTCGCGGTATACTGAGACGCCGCACCTGGACGGGATCCGCCCAGCTGCGTGAGTGACAGCTGGCTCTGCCTATCTAGAGGCAGAGCCAGCTGTACCCGCCCCCTCCCCCGTCCGTTCCGCCAGTCAGCGCTGGCAGATCGGAGCGGGGAGAGGGGAATCCAGCCCCTGTCACGGCAGAGAGCCGTGACAGGATCGAGAGGTGAGCGAACGCCGGTATGTTTTCCCTCACCTCCCGATCGACTGAGCCGACCTGTGACAGTCTCATTGTCACAGGTCGGCTTAGAACTATGAGGTGAGTGGAAATCACTCATGTCATAGTTCTCCTTTAATGGCCCAGTGCACTTGACTGGGCAGCAGCGCATGGTACCATGCATGCACTACTTTGCAACGTCCACGCATGGTATTGCAGCACCGCATGGTGGAGTGCATTACAGGCAGGAGGTGCGTTTGGGGTGCTATTGAAATGAGTGGCAACGCACCTGCCGCACAGTAATGCCTAGTAGGTGTGTTGAGCAGTACCGTACGTTTATCGCACAACATTTGTGTGAATGGGCCTTAAAAGTGTTGTTTGCCCAGTGGTCCAGCAGTAGTTCCCTGTTATGTGTACAATGCATCACTTTTGTGAGTTCTGTTTCCTTCATTGATCCGTCCCCACATCTGTCCATGTTTAATAATAATATTGTTAACAGCTACCTCATGTATCAGTTGCCCCTCCCTTTTTTCCCCCTTATATTGTAAAGCGCTGCGCAAACTCTTGGCGCTATATACATCCTGTATTATAATAATAATAATAATATTGAGAAACAATGCTGCATGTCCAAGGTCGGCTCAGTAGGTCGGGAAGTGAGCGAACACATACCGTTGCTCGCTCACTTCTCGATCTATCCCCGCAGAGAGCCGTGACTGTCACTCACGGCTCTCTGCAGGGATTCCCCCCTCCAATCCCCCAGCGCTGACTGGCGAAACGGACGGGGGAGGGGGCGGACACAGCTGGCTCTGCCTCTGGATAGGCAGAGACAGCTGTCAATCCCGCAGCTGGGTGGATCCAGACAGTATTGTCGGGATCCGTCCCGGCTGCGGCGTCTCAGCATCAGATATGTCCACACCATTTTTCTTTTAACATAAGCACTGAATGAGGGTTTAAAAACTTGCAATTTGATATACATCCATGTTTTATAGCATTGGCACAAGGTGCACATTTCAGAAACTAAGGATCATACCTCCAGTGCAAATGAGAGGTTTTCATTAGGTGATAAAGGAAGCTGACCTGTATGCACCATTTTTCCCTCCAGTATCTGTGAAAGCCCCCCCTTGTGTGCAGGATGACCAATCATCCTTCAATAGCCAATATCTTCAAAAGCCAAACTTTGCCACTATACCAGAATGTTTCTGGCACTGAGGGTCTATTCACGCCACTGGAAAAAAAGTAAGTCATGCTGTACTTTTTCTTAGCGCACACCACCGCGTTCCCACCGTGGCGTAGTGGTGTGAGTGGTGCCCATCCGTGACAAGGCAAATTACCTTATCTTGCATTGGGGCTGTGCTGGAAATAACGGCCTGCTCAGCCCCAACACGTGATGTGAATGGACCCTAATAGTTTGTGTTGTTTCCTTGCACTTGGTATTGTTTCTTTATAACACTGTAGGCTTCCTTCCCTATTGTACACTAATAATCTGCGTCATTGTGCAGTGATTACTATAATGATTACCTGTTTCAGTCTAAATCCTGCATATTTTTGTGTCGTCTGTGGTCTAACAAGATGCCTTGTGCATATTATTTTACAGAAATGCGAAGAAAGAATCCGATTTAGGTCATGCTCAGAACCAACTGAGAGATGCTGAAGCGAAGCTGAATTCAAAAGAAGCTGAGCTTGCCACTTCGAAGAGTAACAAAAGATGTTTAGAAGAGCAGCTCCAAGACCTGAAGGCACAAATATCTGGAGTACGAGGTTTCATATTCTCCTTTTGTTTCTGCTGTCAGATTTACTCCTGTGCTTTATGTGACGTATGGGGCATTATGTGCATAAGATATAGTGCAGGGGTGCCCCATTAGGTCAATCGCGATCTACCAGTAATCACGATGTCCTGTCCTCCCGCCGTGGGGCTTCTCCTCTGGATCCCCGCTGCTCTCCCTCGTGTATGCAGCGGGGATCCGAGGAGAAGTAAAGGAAGCGCTGCAGGCAGCGGCGTGGATGACAGAGCTGCTATCACAGCAGCATGGCCGAGCGGTGAGGAGAGCGAGAAAGCCGCTGGGACAGGATATGATAGCCGGCGGGGTCTCTCTCTCCTCACCGGTCGACTATGCTGCTTTGACAGCGGCTCCCTCCACCGCTCCTCCCCCCCCCCCTGCGGCGAAGTGCTCCCTTCACTTCTCGGATCCCCCGCTGCCTCTCTCTGCCCAAGAGCGCAGCGGGGATCCAGAGGAGAAGTTGCAGGCTGAGCCCCCTTGAGTTCGTGGCCGAGTGGTGGAGGATCGGTACATATCAGTGATATTTACCAATCCTCCGTGCAGGACAAACACTGGAGCGATCAGCTGATCACTCCAGTGTTTGTAAATAACTGCAGACACAGTACTATGTGTCCCCAGTTATAAATGAACAGGAAGTGATTTACATCACTTCCTGTTCATTCATGATTTTCTCAATGGGGAGTAGCACTCTGTACAGAGGCTCCTCCCCATTCAGAAGCTGCTTGATAGTAAATATTTTCTGAATGATTAGGAAGCCTCTGTGCTTTCCATTCATTTACAGGTGAAACTCGAATAATTAGAATATCGTGCAAAAGTTCATTTATTTCACTAATGCAACCTAAAAGGTGAAACTAATATATGAGAGAGACTCATTACATGCAAAGCAAGATAGTTCAAGCCGTGATTTGTCATAATTGTGATGATTATGGCTTACAGCTCATGAAAACCCCAAATCCACAATCTCAGAAAATTAGAATATTACATGCAATCAATAAAACAAGGATTGTACATAGAACAATATCGGACCTCTGAAAAGTATAAGCATGCATATGTACTCAGTACTTGGTTTGGGCCCCTTTTGCAGCAATTACTGCCTCAATGCGGCGTGGCATGGAAGCTATCAGCCTGTGGCACTGCTGAGGTGTTATGGAAGAACGGGATGCTTCAATAGCGGCCTTCAGCTCTTCTGCATTGTTCGGTCTCATGTCTCTCATCTTTCTCTTGGCAATGCCCCATAGATTCTCTATGGGGTTCAGGTCAGGCGAGTTTGCTGGCCAATCAAGCACAGTAATCCCACGGTCTGTTGGGGGGCACGTTTCTTTTTTCTTGCCTCGGGTGCAAAAGGAGCTAGCAACGGCTATGCTCCCGCGGTGCTCGTGTGGCTGCCAGCTGAATGTGTCAGACCGAAAAGGGTGGGACACCTCTCCCTGAGTGCAACGTCGGCCACTTTCGGCCACATGAGCACCGCAGGAGGACAGGACGCTGGCGCCTCTAGAATGCAAGCCGGCCGACTCCCTGTGTTCAGAGGCGTGGGGTTGTATTGAAGTCAATGGCACTGCAGCCATGCCTGCCGCCCACAGGGCGATTGCCCGCACCTGGAACGCATGCACATTAGTGCCTGCATTCCGTTCCAGTGCGATCTGCAAAAATACTGCTCGCAGTATCATTGGTTTCTCTCATTGAGCTCGTCATTTGAAAAGTAGATCTCCAGACGAAAAATTGTGGGCGCCCCTGATATAGGGGACATGTCATGGGACAATCCAAATGGATTTGAAACTTTGTCCTAGGGGAAAGGCAAAGTTCTGGGGTTCCTGTTTGCCATACTGTAACTCTTTAGCTGCCAGGTTCCGCCTTCCATTTTATACCTCGGGTGGCTGGATCATTTTTGCAGTTGTTTACTTGCATGTTACAGCCTTGAATGTTTGTGAAAGGAGACGATGCTATTGATTTTGTGCATTCCATGATCGTTGCACAAATGTTTACCTAAACCATATTTGTTAAAAATACACTAAAATCACTATTGGGGCATGTGAACAAAATGGAAAGTTCTAAATTCCTACTAAATGATAGAAGATGATACCTTTTTTATGTATACATATTTGTAAATATAAATTGCTCCTTTCTGCACATCAAATAAAAGTAGGTATATGAAACTATAATAAGCTACGTACACTGGAACCCCTTACTACTTCCTTTATTTATTTAGTGTTTTAATAAAATCCTCTCCATAATGGTCACCATACACGTTACAATCTGACCAAACAATCTTTGAACAATCGACTTTAGATGTACCAAAACTATGTAAAATGAGCACCTATCTAGTTTATACAATCAATCTGCATCCAATCAGGCAAGCCTTTGAACTACATAGTTGTTGGTAGATCTAAAGGAAATTGTACAGTCAGATTGTGTGTGTGTGTGTGTGTTGAGCTTAAGGTTGGCTTCTCACTATTGTTTTGCACTAATATGCATTTTACCATCTATTACAGCAATGCACATGGATGCAATGTACAATGCATCTGCCCTGCAGCTTGGCATAATGCAGATGCTGTGCTGTTACTGGCATGTCTAGTTTTTCAGCAGTTGATGTGCTTTGGCAGCCCATTTAAATTGAATGGGCTGCCGTAAAGCGGAAACAAACTTTAAAAATTTGCTTTCACCTTACTCCTATCAAATCTTTTTGTTTTTGTGTGCACTGCCTGAGGCACATGTTGCCCCAGCACCTGGCTCTATTCTGAACATCTTGTAAATGAGGGGAATGAAGCCGGGTGCCAGGATGCTGTAACACCTGCATGCATGAGTAAGCATGATTCAACAGTGGCTGCCCAATGGTCGGAGAGAATAGAGCTGGATCTGTAAGAAGCAAAGGAAATGATGGCAGTGGGATGTATAACTGCCAGCACTGAACAAGGCAAAACCCTGAGGCAAGTCTGCCATGCTCGCACATTTTGGCAAGACTTGCCGATCCTCGGGCATGCTAAAAATGTGCAAAATACTGCATGTTAATGTGCACACAGTAAAACACTGCAATAGACTAGCAATGTGTGAAAGGGTTAAAAAATGATTACCAAGGAACCATATAAACCTCTTTGGTTTGCTACCTGCATTGTGCTAAGGCCGCCTATTGATTTCTTGTGTGTCTTCAAACACTGCCACATTGCTGTTCACTTTTTATTTATTTGTTTACTTTCACATTGCTGTCAGCAAGGGGTGACAAACCTGCTGGAAACCATATATGCAAAACAGAACCCTGATGCCTCCACTTTCTGCTACCCTTTTCCTGGCACAGCACTGACTCTGAACCAGGAAGTGCTCACAACTGAGCATCATTTGTAGTCCTAAAGAGATTGGTGAACATGAGCAGTAAAAAGGACCGCAGCAGGGGAAGGGGGTGCTGTACTCCATACATAAATGGATGTGATCAGAGCCTGTTATCTGGAGGGGTTTAGTAATGTCTGTCTGATGCATGTGTATACAACAGCTTTTGTATAATGCATCATTAGATCTGAATGGTAGTGTACTTTCAATTTTATATCATTCTGAGGCCTTTAGACAGTTACATTCTTGTGTGTATAAAATATACATTTATCTTTACATCTGTTCATATTTTACAGCTTGAATCTTCATTGAAGGAGACAACAAAACAGCTGCACGATGAAATGCTATGGAGAGTGGACCTGGAGAATAAAATGCAAACCCTCAAGGAGCAATTGGATTTTGAAAAAAATATACATGGCCAGGTACGTTACAAACTGGCAGTAAATGGTTGAAAATGACAATGAACCTAGTTGTGTCACTATATAATATTTTATTTATTTAATGCACAGAGAGGAGTGTCTGAGTTCCTTTGAAAATGCCTATGACTAAGAGCACGGTCCTGGTTGTAGCCTGACTTATGTTTATAGTGCACTTGTAGTGGAAGACTTCTGCTGCAATTGTTATCGGACTCTGGCTTGCAGAGATTTATACCAGTTTTGGATCACTGATGGATTCTCCTCTTTTTAGTAAACCTCAGTCCACAGGCAGTAGTTTCTCCATTGCAATCTCCTCTATGGAGAAACCATTTATTTTGTTAATTGCTACACGATTTAGGAATAACAGCCACAGCAGCCTCCATGATAATGAGAAGATCTCTGCTCACCTTTTACTGGCAGCTTGTAATAGCAGATGAAAACCAGTTAGATCTATTGTATGTAGTGAGGCAATATTATAGAGATCTATAAAATAAAAAAAAGACACTATTGTGATGCATTGCACAATGTCCAGACATTCTCTTATGTATTTAGTTATGTGTGATATGTGCTTGTTGCTTGTATTTTGCAGGAGGTGCATGAGATGAAGAAACGTCATGATACCCGGATTGTAGAGATTGATTCTGGTCGAAGGCTAGAATTCGAGAACAAGTTGGCTGAGGCCCTGCAAGAGCTCAGACGAGACCATGAGGAGCAGATCAAGGAGTACAAGGACCAGCTGGAGAAAACATTCAGTGCCAAGGTGGTTTTACTGCTTTGTAATTATAACTATACTAATGGCTGTTGGGCTGACAAAGTATTACATGTTGCAGTTCTTTCAAATGTGTAATCGCTGTAAACACATTGTCCCAAAACAAAATGTGTGAGAGCCCTTTATTGGAGGTTATCCTTCCCTGGCTCATGCAGGGCTGAAAAGAAGCAATTTTTCCATGAATAATTGGCTACACCTTTTTTCCCCATTGTCAGTAGAGGTGCACCGAAATGAAATTTTGAAACCAAAAATTCCAGCCTTTTAAATTTTTTTTTACATTTTTTTTTTTCTAAACTTTTTATTTTATTTTTTTAATAAATATTTTTAATTTTTAACTTCACTGTCGTGGGCTCTGGGAAATATCTGGGGGTCTAAACAGATCCTTGATATTTCCCTTTTAAAGTAGAAGAAGAGATTGAGGACACCGGTATCCTGTTCATTCATAACTTGTGGAGATGGTATGTTTACTATGTCCACAATCCTTCAATGAACAGGAAGTGAGGTAAAGCACTTCCTGTTCGTTCATAATTGGGGACACCGTAAACATACTATGTCCTCAATTATTTACAAGCAGTCAGCGATCAGCTGATCTCTTGACTGCTTGTACCCGCTCTCCAGCCTGACTCGCTGTCACAGGAAGCTGAGCGGGCTGTGCAGGGAGGAGAGCTCTGTCTATTTTGACAGCTGACTGCTCCTCCGCACTGCCGGCTCAGCCTCCTGTCTCCACTCATGCACCACTCTCCATCCTGATCTGTCACAGGAGACTGAGCGGTGCAGGAGAAGAGCTCGGCCTCCTGTGACATTGCGGCTTGCAGCACTCCCCGCCCCACTCGGCCTCCTGACCGTTTCTCTCCTCCTCCCCGCTGGACGCTGCGCTTTGTCAGAGGGACACAGAGCAAAATGACCGCATAATACCCTTAGAGTCGGGTTGGTGTCAAAGTGACTGCAGATGCCTCTGCAATCCAAGATAAGTGTATGTATAAAGTCACTCGCACTAACACAGTGAACACAGGGGACGGGGGGGGGGGACAGAGCAACGCCCAGCGAGGAGAAGAGAAACTAGGAATGCAGCGCAATTTCGGCCGAAAGATAGTACTTTCAGCATTTTGCAAAAGTTGTCATTTTCGGACTATATGTTTCGGCGTCCCAAATTTCGGTGCATCCCTAATTATCAGTAGACATGCTAATTCTCCTACAAGGTTCTTTTTCAAAGGTTCCTTTTCCACTCAGTTTATGACCTTCTCCCCGCAGAGAGCGGTGACCGACAGTCATCACTCCCTGCAGGGTTTCCCCCCTCTATTCCTCCAGCGCTCATTGAAGGGACAGTCAGGGGAAGGGGTGGGCACAGCTGGCTCTGGCTCTACAGAGCCATTGTCCGGATCCTTCCTGGCTGCAGCACAGCTCTTCACTGTCAGCAGATAACGGGCAGTAGCCCTCCTATTGAGTTTTGTGTCACAGGAGCACATTGTAAAAGTCCTCCTGTGACCCTAAAAAGAACTACAGCCAAAAAAGTTTTGCCCATAGTTTTCTTTTAAAGCCGCAAACAGCCAGACAGGTTCCCAGTTAATAGACCAAAATTGGTCTGCTGTGCAAGGACAGACATCCAACTGAAGCTTTTCCATCAGATCTACTACACCCCAGCTAGACTTCCTAAACTGTGTCTACACCCTACTTTTACATGCCTTGGAAGCCTTGGCGAGAATGGAGACTTTACTCATGGTCTATGGAAGTGTCGCTATTTCCTGCATTACTGACATCTGTTATCCTAATAATTCTCTGCTTGGCATTTTTGGTGAACTCCAGATCTTATCACTCCAAAGCACTGTTTATGCTGAAAAGACCATTCTCATCCACCCAGTCTATGTCGGACTGGAAAAGGATCATAAATTCTATCATCCTCCTTTGTAAATAACTTTTGATTTAAAAAATAAACCTCAACACTTGAGAAGATTGGAACCAAGGACCCCAGATTTTCTCAAACACTTCACAATTAAATACCTGAAGAATCCAAATAACAGAATTTCACCTTAACCTGTTGTCTGGATTCTGTCAGTATGAAGTAACCCCATATACTTGTTGAATTATATTGGTGTGCCGTACTAAGGATTAGTTTAACAATGTGTTTTATTAACTCTGATTAGTATTATGTGTTTGTAATTCTACTCGTGTAAGATACCTGTCTGATTTAATTCACCTTCTGCCTTCTCACAATGCCTGCCTTTGCTTTGTCTAAAAGTGACACGAAACTCAGGAGGTAAATACTAAAAATGCATTCAAGTACCTTTTTAACTATTAACATGTATACTAATTGTGTATCACTCAGCTGTAGATCCTCAAATCATCTCTGAATTGGTGCTGACATTGTCCTTCCTTCTGGAGGATGGCTACTTTTCTCCACGGTCCGTGTTGTAAAGTAAAACAAACGACAAACGCACTCAACAATTTGTTACCAGTTATACAGTAAGGTGCACACGAAGAAATTGGAAATTGTTGAGTGCGTTTGTCGTTTGTTTTGCTTGACCGATTTGGTGCAGCGACGCATGGGGTTTCTCAGCTGCCAATAGGATGTGCGGGATCCCTTGTGTGTTTCTGTACCTTTTTTAAGGAGGTTGGGCATCCTCCTGACAAACCTGCACCCAATTTGATATCTTCTGCCCCCATGTGCTCCAAGATGGAGACTCTCATAGTTTAGAGTTAGGACCGCACTATAAGAGGTGCCTTGGCGCGGCAGTGCGGCTTACACATCCTCGGCTGAAGACGTGTATCCAAACCTCTGTCATTATCCTTAGTGGTGAGACATGTTGTTTTACATGCTGGTTTTGTGAGACTGCCATGATGCCTTTCTGCTGTGTTGTAAAGTAATCACCGCTTCAAGTATAACTTCAATATAAATTAGATACCTAAACATGAGATTATAGTCCATCACAAGAGTGAGCTTGGAGCGGTGGCTACTTTACAACACACACCAGGACCATAGGGAACAAAAGTAGCCCCCCTCCAGAAGGAAGGACAGTGTCGGCACCAATTCAGAGATGATTTGAGGATCTACAACCGAGTGATACACAAATAAGGCCCAGTCTTTTTAATAGTTCAGGTACTTGAATGCGTTTTTAAGCTTTAACTCCTGAGTTTAATGCCACTTTAACTTTTACTGCCAACCATCCACTGATTTTATAAATGTCCAGCTCTATATGAAGTCTCTATTTAATCCTTATATTAATCTGTAGCAGATTATAGCTGTGTCTAGTGTGTATACTAGCGGGTATCAGATTATAGCTGTCGTGTGTATTTTAACAGGTATCAGATTAGAGCTGTGTCACATGTTTAACACATTAGAGCAGCCTCAACTATTCACAATTTGTGTAAAGTACATTCTAATTTGCATAGTAATAGAGTTGCTTATGGATTTTTTTGTTTTACAGTTGGAGAACGCACAACTTGCAGCTGCCAAGAACAGCGATTATGCCAGTGCAACCAGGGAAGAGATAATGTCTACGAAAATCAGAATAGACGCTTTGGCCTCACATCTAAGCCAGTGTCAAAAACAGGTACTGCTTTCTCTCTCCTAAGTGGAATGTCTTTATTGTAGCTGGGGGTTTTAATGTGCTTTTCTTAGCATAAGATGGGTAACCGAGATGGCGGTTTAACACAGAATAGAATGAAGGAGACACCGATTGCACGGTTCGTAGAGATGTATGGGAAAGTGTTGTATGTTTGACCAATCTCTAAATTTCATAAACCACTACTTGTATATGTGGTGGCAGTTTCTCCTAGCTTGTGTTATTTTTGTCACAAAGTAAAAAGAAAATGAACTGAAATAAACACATACAAGTATATACAGAAATATTGTAATACGTCATTTGTCAATCCCTTTACTGTATACAGAAATATAAATGCGGGAATTGTAAATGTATGTCAGAAAAACAAACAACCTGTAAAGTGTAATTTGCAGTGTAGGGAGACCGAACACTCAGCCCACCACTTGCACATCGTTTGGGTACCTTTTATAGATTACGGTATGTAACTGTTTAGGCAGATGCTATGATTTACAAATCCTGCAGTAAGGAGGAACTATTTCACATGGCAATCAAATTCCAGCCCTTGTTTTTTTGGCACTGCATGGAAATCTTCAGTTCAATGTCTGACCAGAATTTCTTCTTTGTGGTTTTTTTTTTTTCTTTTTCTATCACTTATTCTGAAATGAGATCGGTGACCTTGTTTGGCATCTTGGGTTCAAGCTTGTGATTTACATTTGCAGTAACTTTAAGGGCTTAATCACATCAGATGCAGTTTAAAATGCATATAATGTGTGTATTCTGACAATCTGACATTTATAGCCGTGTTTCAGATGCGTTGTTCTGTGGTTTTGAAAGTCTCTATTTGACTTTGATCTGAAAGACAGCAAAAGCTGTAGCATGTAGGATATTTTAAAACTCACTGCAGCACATTGGGGGAGTACAAAAAGCGGCACCCCAAAACACATGGTATATGCGTTGTGGTACGTTGACCTCTAACATTCAATGCTTTAGGGTGGCATTCTCAATGAATGGCACTGCGCATAAAGCACTTGCTACCTATAATAACGCGCATTAATGTGTATTTTAGCATGAGTGTGAGTGGGCCCTCAGATCAGGCCCCACTGACACAGCATTAGACCTGCTGTTCTGAACATAGCAGAGGAATTATATCATGTGAATAAATCCCCATTCGTTTTTTCTTTCCTGTTCCTGCTATGCTTACCAGCACATCACTGCACAACTGGACAGTGTGAGACACTGTTGATGAAAGTTAGTAATGGTTATCACTATGCTAATGGGAAATGTTTTGTAGAACTCTGCACTGGAAAACAAAGTGAGAGAGCTGCAGGAGTTGCTGGACCGTGCACAAGATCTACATCGGAGACAGATGACTGAGAAGGACAGAGAAGTGTCTGAGATGAGGCACAAACTGCAAGCACAGTTGGAGGAATATGAACAATTGCTGGATGTAAAGCTTGCATTAGATATGGAAATAAATGCCTACAGGAAAATGCTGGAAGGAGAAGAGCAAAGGTGAGGAGATATGTATAATTTTTTGATATTGTCATTATATTTGCCGTTCAAGTGTGCCATGGCTTTAACTGAAAACATCAATAACAGGATAACAACTGTAAGTAACTTTGCATTTTTTTATTCTTTCTGTGTCTTTTAACAGCATGTGAACAGCACACTTTCCAGCAGTGACTAGTAAGCTTGTAATCTAGGAAGAGGTTGGGAGGGGGTGGAATTGGGTAATGTGTAATGGTTATTTGGTGTGTAAATCAGGAAATTAAAGCTGGCCATACACCTATAGATTATCTGCAGATTTTCTATGGCCAGATGGAAAAAGTGCAACAGATTCCTCAATCTACGCTAAACTGTGTGGATGGAGGAATCTCTTGCTGGGCCAAGCTTCAGTATCTTGCTAGTCTGCCCCGCTGGCTTTCAAAATACCCAAAGAATCCCTGCATCCAATCAGATTGTTCAGGTATTTTGAGAGCTACGGGGCCGACTAGCAAGATACTGGAACATAGGCCCAGTAGGCGATTCCTCCATCCACACAGTTTAGCATAGATGGAGGAATCTGTTGCACTTTTTCCATCTGACCGTAGAAAATCTGCAGATAATCTATAGGTGTATGGCTGGCTTAAGACGGCTGCATCTATTGGGTCTAAAGAGCACGTGCACAAATGAAAAGCTGAAACCGATAATTAGGTTTTAATGTTCTGTATAAAGGATTTGCTTTTTCTGACCTCTTTCTGAAATTTCTAGTTGCCATCATTTTACAGCTGTTACTGGAACAAGAGATGAACCGTCTTCCAATGGGGGCAAATATTCAGTGATCATTGTCCAAAAGGAGATTGTCCTTTCTCTTATGATAGATTTTGTCTCACTTCTGTTGTGATCAGGGCAGGAAGTGACGTAAAATCTACCCAAAAAGGATACAGAAGGAAAAAATAAAATAGCAGGGGTTTGATCAATTTCCTACTCTATCCAAAACTTTTAAAACAAAGTTGGCTTTAGATATGCTTTAAGGCCATGGGAATCAAAAGGCAGTTAGGCAAAAGGGTACAATCCAGTCTCTGTAAAAACTTTTACTAAACCTACATATTCTGGTAGAAATGTGCATGTTTTTGGCTGTGGAGGCAAGAAATATAACACCCCCAGATGCCAGCTTTTATTTTGCGGTGCAAAAATTGTGATAGCCAAAAATATCAACCAGTTTTTATCCCTGGATAATGGATGGCCAGCAGTTTGTCTGTTCTGTAGGTGCCTATGGATATGAGAATAGTCATCTCATCTGGACAGATCATGTAGGACTCGCTAGTTTTTAATCTTATTGCCTTCAGATAAAGGTTGTGTCTTCTGATTTAGGTCTCAAATCTCAAAATGACACCTTCAGAAACCACCTCTTAGTGGAATAAGTTTTGAGTAACTATATTTGTGTTCCATCATACTACTCAGTTCTAGGTTTCTGGGATTTGTGACAGAGTTGAAACTGCTTTAACTGAAGTTAATGGAACTGAAAATTAGGGAGTCTTACATGTGGACCGAGAGCAATAAAAAGGAAGAACAGTGTGGATTTTTAAGTTTGACATTTGGGGAAAGCACATATTCCTTCAGTAAACTTTAACTCCACTATATATACAGTAGTGTTTTGCCTATTGTTGGCTGAATAATACATTATTCAACTCATTGCGCAGGTTAGTCAATAAACCTGTCTTTTAATTGCTCTAAAACCTAGGCTGAAGTTATCACCGAGCCCTGCACAGAGGAGCACAGTCTCTCGAACCAGCACTACTCAAAAAAGCCATTCCGTACGAGGGAAGAAGAGGAAGTTGGATGAGAGTGGGAGATCATCCAGCAGACCTGGATATAGGATCATTCAGGAAGCCAACTCTTCCGGACCGGTATCTATAGAAGAGATTGACCCTGAGGGAAAGTGCCTGAGACTTGTGAACCAATCGGATCAGGTATGTTTCACAATTCATTGATAAGCCAATTATTTTTTTTAGTTCACAAAGGTGACAAAGAAAAGCAAGTCTGTAAAATGTATCAAGCAGCAGTATGTCCCACTGTGATAGCAGAGCATGCTTTTAAATTATATACAATGGCTAATCATAGGGGATTGTCCTGTTTTAGGTTGAGGGAACTCTAGATTAATGTATCCAGAAGAAATATTAGCACCATACTTTTAATATATCACTGCAGTGGTCAGCATTTCATGTCTGTCTATATAAACTATCTTGTGAATACTAAGTGAATAAACTTGTTAATAAAACTGCTTAAAGGCGAACTTCACCCAGCCTAGCCATACTAAAATTCTAAATCACCAATAACTGTCCCTTTAGCAAAATAAAAAAGTACTAGTCCCTGGAGTTCTGCATGGTCTTCCGTGCAGGCAAAGTTCTTTTTTGTGCTGCTTTAGTTCTGCACTGCCAGCTTGAAGCGAGATCCCGCGCATGTAAAAACATGCTACAGAACTCCGCCAGCTACCATTTCTATAGCAGAGACCTACGGCATGTCTTATTGCGCGGGATCTTGGCAGCTACCTCCAGGAGTGTATGACATAGACATCCCAGGAGGAAGAAGGCCAGACTGTCATCCTTCTCTACGCAAGGAAAATATAAAAAGGTATTCATGGCATTAAATGAGGTTGGTTGTTGCATTTTTTTATTTTCTACTGCATTTGTGTATGGGAGGGGGGAGGAAGTAGGAAATGGTAAATTATTTTTATGGATTTAGGTCAACTTTAACCCCTTTGTGACGGGAGACGTACACTGTACGTCCAGCCACAAAGGGACCAAATGACTTGTCACGTACACTGTACGTGACGAGTTATATGCTGCTTTAGAGGGCTGTTAACCGCAGATAAATAAAATAACGTTTTTAAGTTAAAAAAAGTGAAAAGTGTAAAAATACTACAAATCAAAAACGTTTTTTTCCTCCTTTTTTTTTTTTTTTAATATTTTTTTTGTCCTAAGTGAGGCGTTAGACACACATATGTGATATAAATATATAGCCCTATCTGTCCTCTAAAAAACAATATATAATATGTGTGGGTGCACTTTGTAAGAAAGTATATTACTGACGTGGAAGAATCACACAGCAAAAATGTCAAAAGTGTGTCAGTCATTTACGAACAGAAACTAAAAACAAGCTCAGTCATGAAGGGGTTAAAGGAGAACTATGGGGTTAAGGCTTTTCCTCATAGTTCTCCTTAGGGTAACGGGAGGACACAAACTAGCGTCCTCCCGTCACCCTAAGCTCCGTATACCGCGAGCTGTAGCTAAGACGCCACAGCTGAAGCGGATCCCGACAATTATGTCTGGATCCGCCCAGCTGCGTGAGTGACAGCTGGCTCTGCCTATCTAGAGGCAGAGCCAGCTGTACCCTCCCCCGTCCGATGGATCCAGTCCCTCCCCTGTCACGGCAGAGAGCTGTGACAGGATCGAGAGGTGAGCGAAGGCTGGTATATGTTTGCTCACTTCTCGTTCTACTGAGCCGACCTGTGACAGTCTCATTGTCACAGGTCGGCTAGAACTATGAGGAGTGAAAAGCACTCACCTCATAGTTCTCCTTTAAATCTAATCCATGAAGTGTACTTTAAGCTCTAAAATCTTGCAGGTATTCTCACTACTGTTATGTATAATATTAGAAAGGGTTTAAGATGCTTCTGTAAAATTAGTTGGATCCTCCCTGCAAAACAAGTGAGTTTGAGTTTTCTAATCCAGTACTAACCATATCGCCAGTTTACTGAACTGATCCATAGTGGATGTGAGCCCATCAATACTAGATTTTAACGAATAATACAATCAACTTTTATTGCAGTGCTTAGCTTTTTATATTTCCCATGTTACCACATTCTAGGTCTTCCCTTGAATCCAATATAAATACATATTCTTCTACAATAACATTTGTGAACTGCTTAATAATGGCATTGTATAAGATGAGATCTAAACTGAAAATGTCTAAAACTAAAATTTCATGCAAGTTTTATCATGCTATCATTTTTAAAAGTGGTTTTCAGTTTATTTTTACTTTACTACACACAGTGATACAGAGATGAGGATCTTTTATATTGGCCATGTTACAAGAATTTTTGTAATCTCACTTTTTTTTTAAAATCGGTATTCTTCTCCTGCTGTATCAGATGCGAGTTAGTCTGTAGTGTGTTTATCGTGTATTACAGAAATGCACATCGCAAATGTGCTGCTGAAGCTAAATTGAAGTTAAACAAGTGCAGGCACCTCTTTTTTAAATCGCGATGCACCACATTGCATGGTGCATAGGTTACCTTGTGATGTGGTGGCATACAACGCACTTGCAATGGCTAGGTGTGCTGAGGTGCACTTAAAAAATAATGGCACTGCAGAGCACCTAACATTGCAACCTTTAACGCAGAATCACTCCTACTTTGCCACGATGTGAACGTAGCCTTAGGGTTTAGATAAATTTTTTTCCCTACATGAGGTTTATTCAGTGTATATATTTTTACATGTTTTAGTAATTGCATTAACTGTAATGAAGCAATTTGTTATACAGGATCAACAGATAAGTGGCTGGACAGTTAGAAGACAGCATGCAAGCCTGCCTGAAATTGGCTATAAACTTCCTGGGCGATTCATCCTTAAAGCTGGCCAGCAAGTTACGGTAAGTACTAAGCGTGTGTTTTCACCAGCCCGCAAGTCTACCGCAATGTCCTGTGCCCGGAAGGCAAGGAATTGCATATATGAAGTCTCCTTGTGGGAGGGGGTGCGGCAGTGCCATTCATGTCAATGGCACTGCAGACACCCCCCCCCCCCCTGGCTGCACAGGAATGTGTGATAAAATGCCCTTTGTTCCAGTGCCGTACAATGGCATAAAATCGTGCATGCACTATTTTTTCTGATCCCACCACACTGGAACGCATTCCCAATTTGGTGCGTATCCCCATGGATTTCAACGGCTGCTCTATGCACGTGAAACGTAGGAAAAGTAGCTCATGTAGCAAAGTCTGCTACATGTTTTTAACAGCTATGTGGCTGGACAGTTAGAAGACAGCACATGTTTTCTGTGTATTTTTATATTTTCTGTACTTGCGCGTTTGCGTTTTCCCAGCTACGTTTAGGTCATTAACTAGTAATGGCACTAGAAGCGCGTTGCATGGTTTGAACAGGTTCCGTGACGTGATGTTTGCCGCACATTCACAAAATGCGATGGTTTGAACAGGAATTTGGGAAGATAGGAAGTCTAAAACCTTTGTGTTATACCGCAACCTGATTCTAGACAAGGCGAGGTCAGTCCTGCTGTAATAGGTGCCCATAGCACACTTTTCACTAACATGTCAGGGACTGCTGGCAGTGTGGCTCTGATACTGGCGACTCCTGTCACTTGGTGTTATGCTTCCCTCTGATTTAGGAGTGTTTCTCCTCATTCCAGTCCTCCTTTTGGCTCCGTTGGGTGTGGAAGGGTCCTCTGGCTTCTTGGCTGTGTCTTTTAGTATGCCCTTTGGGTCATGAAGCAGGGCTTCATGACCCAAATGACGCAGTTTAACAGGCAAGTACGTTTTCCACAAGTAAGCTAACATACTCTTTCCTGCAGCTTCTATCAGGGTTATTCACAAAAGGGTGAAGAGTTTGGAGAAGTGAACAATCTAGGCCAAAAATCCTCCAATTCAGCTCACTTTCCAGTTCAGCTCTGTTGTCCTAGATTGTTCACTACTCCTGCCTTCTCCAAACTCTTCACCCTTTCGTGAATAGACCTGTATATCTGTTTTGCCTGTAGCCTATGCAGGTTCTAAACCATCAGCCACAGAGGCTAAAGACTGCTTTCTAAGTCGCTTAAGTGTTTAATGGATGAGCTTTCCCTGAGGAGACTCAGTCCACTTCTATTACTACCAATTTCAAGGAGACGGTGTCATCTAGAAAAACAGCCTATGTTGCTTTTACCAGTACTGTTTCTAGCCTTTGGTCAAACTCATTTCTTGGAGTATCTGGGACTGGCCTTTGAGTATTCCAAGGCCAGAGCTTTCCTTCCTCAAAAGAAACTTATGGAATGAAGATTATGGTTTTGGGACCTAAGAATCTGAAGTTGTCAGACCCTCCACTTCTGTATGAGGGTCGTAAAGGGGTAGTCTCTTTCAAGGCAGTTACCTTTGCCCAATTCCACGCCAGACATTTACAACAGAACCCTTTGTCATCGTGGGACAAGTCAATTCTGTGTCTGAGCTGCCCCTTTCTTGGTGGCTTTGGAATCTGGCGCTGAAGTCCTAGGGAGTTGTTTCTCCCTACATTTGGAAAATCCCGATGACAAAAGCAAGTCTGTTGGGCATGGGGAGTCTTTGTCATCTTGTCGGCACAGGAGACATGGTCATCAGAAAAAGCTATGTCTTGTCTTGGCATTTTGGGCCTTCTGGCTGTCCCTTCAGAGTTGGTCTAACCTTTTGGAGGCCATCCACCCCTGACGGTTGGACTCTCAGGGGTGAACCAAGAAGTCCTGCTGCAGCAAGAGGTAGAGTTATTCTTCACCTGGGCAGAACTTCCCGTTCCTGTCTGGTCAGACATTTATATTCCTGGCATAGAATTTGCAAAGCCAGAAGTGGACCGTCACAGATGGGGATCATTGAATGTGGACCTCCTATCCTCCAGGTTAGGAGGTCTGGAAACAAACTGGACAGGATTAGATGCTTGCCCAGGGTTTTAGTCAAATCAAGTTTATTAATTTTGCAAAAAAACATAAAGCATATGTACATTAGAATCACAGGCATAGTAGGCCATAGAACTCGGCCTAGATTAACATAGTCACGGAGATGAACTGAGCCCATACTATACGCCTAGGAAGCTCAAAAGGCATATTACAAACCACTGTGGGCCCTTAACCATACCGTAAGCCCGGATAAACAAAGAAAGGGGGGGGAGACAAACCGAAGGACGTAGTACAAGACAACACTAGGCGACACAACACAACAAAGACAACAGGGGAGGTGAGTGGGAGTTGTGGGTTCTTTAAGCTAGATATCGGAGTTCAGGGGGTGTACAAAAAGGAGTTAAGACCATAGCATATACAGGGGGCAGGGTGACAACTACATGAGACACTCCAGCTATGGGATTGGGGTCAATACTGCAGAAAAAGCAGTGGAGTCCTGGAAGCAAACAGAGGAGGAGTCTATGCGGGGGTCCAGGCGTAGGTTGAAGTCACCGCCTAGAACAATTGCACCTTCAGTGAAAGACTCCAGGGCCCTTAGGTAACGCAGACAAGCCGGAACCTGTGAAGAGTTAGGTAAGTAAACATTAGCAATCGTATAGGTGGAGCCATTTAGCAAGATTTTCAGAAAAACATAACGCCCAAGGGGGTCAAGAGAGGAATCAAGCACTTGAATCTTACAGGATTTGTGTATCCCAATGGAAACGCCACTTGCCCAGGGTTTTGATGGTGGAAGCAGTTAATGCTCTGGTAGCTTTATGGGATCATTACACCCTGATCTATGCCTTTCTTCTGCTCTGCGGGATTGAGATTGATCCTCATTGCTCTGGACTTGCCCATGTGCTAAGCGGACATGGTAAGATTTCCTGCAGACGCACCATGGGCTTTGCCTGACCTTCTGGATCTGCTAACTCAAGGACCAATTTTCTACCTTTTCGTCTTGATAACTGGTTTTCATGGTTTGCCTGTTGAAACCCAGGTTCTAAAGGACTCTGGCATCCAAGTCTGTGATACCTTTGATGCCCAAGGCTATGAAGTCTTTCTGCAAGGTCCATCGTAAGACATAGGTGTACTTTGCTTGGTGAAAGGCTAAGGGCTCTTATCTCGGGAGTTTGTGTGGGGACATCTATTCTCCTGCAGTTGAGTCTGGACCAATATTTGGCTTTTAGTACTATCAAGGGATAGCACTTTCTATTTTGTTTCAGAGACCGTTGTCTCCTTACTCTGATTTAAGACCCTTTTGTGCAGGTGGATTCCTATGTGGTCCCCCTGGTCCTATGCCTTTTGTCTTCAGGGGATTATATTTTGGTTCTTTTAGTGCTTCACAAGCTCCTTTTTGAACCTTTTCAGAGGTATTCCTCTCACTACTCTGACCCAGAAGGTTGCATTTCTTTTGGCCATCACCTCAACTGAGTGTCTGAGCTGGTGACTTTATCCTCCAAGAAACCCTTCATGGCCTTGGACAAGGTGGTATTGGGACCCAGGATTTTTTTTTTTTTACCAAGTTACTCTACTTGCAACTTTGATGACATTGTTCTTCCGTCCCTCTGTATGACTAGTTCTTCAGTAGGAAATTTTCCCCCATTTTTTGGATGTGGTTCGACTGTGCTAGTCTTTCAGCCACTGTTTCATCAAGAAGACTAATTCCCATTTTGTCATTCCTGATGGGCCCAGGGAGGGTGACCTGGTTTTTCGTTCTGCTGTGTCCAGGTGGCTCAGACCGAGCAAGGTTTAGGCTTATGGCCTTAAGGATTGGTTTATCTCCCCTTTCCCAGCCTTCTAGGGCTGCAGCCAACAATTATTTTCAAAATCGATTAGTTAGCCGATTATTAAGTTCGGTTAATCGGATAAAAAAAAAGGCTCCAGTGATGGACTACTAGTTTGTATTGAGATTGTAGTCCATCACGGGAGCAAGCTTGGAGCGGTGGAAGTAAAAAAAAAAAAAGAGTGGTGTGCAATATAGTACATTATACAGCGGCGCAATGCAGAATACCAGCAGCTTTAGAGGAATACAACAAATCGCAGCAATAGTACACTATAATGTACTATTGCTGGGATTTGTAGTCCTCTGTAGCTGGCGTTATTCTGCATTGCGCTGTATAATTTTATTGCTGCGATTTTTAGCAGTGCGCTGTATAATGATTATATGGCGCAATGCAGAATACCAGCAGCTATATAGGAATACAACAAATGCTAGCAATAGTACATTATGTATGGATTTTTAGTCCTCCGTAGCTGCTGATATTCTGCATTGCGCTGTATATAATGTATTATTGCTGGGATTTGCTGTTCCTCTATAGCTGGTGTCATTCTCCTTTTGCGCTGTATAATGATTATACGGCGCAATGTAGAATACCACTGACAAGTTATAGAGGAACAACAAATCCCAGCATTAAAACATTATACAGCGGCAGAATACCAGCAGCTACAGAGGACTACAAATCCCAGCAATAGCACACTATACAGGCTGCTTAATGTGTTATTGCTGGGATTTGTTGTTCCTCTATAGCTGCTGGTGTTCTGCATTATGCTGCTGTATTGTAGAATGCAGAGTACCATGCAGAATACCAATGTATTATACAGCGGCACAATGCAGAACACCACCAGCTATAGGGTGCTAAGAAATCCCCTATGTGATAACACATTACAGCTACAGGTCCCCTTTATGGAGACGTCAGGGGTCTCTAAGACACCTAATGTCACCTTGGGACCCACAGAGAAGCTGATGAAGCACAGATCTGCTTCATCAGCTTCTCTCCGGTTTCTGTAACGGAGATTGACAGAGGAATGCGGAAGTGATGTAATATACATCACTTCCTGCATTCGGAGAGCGGAGTGAGATTGCGTACTGATATCCCTCCGTTCTCAGTACACAGAGCCACATCGCCCAGTACGGATGGACGCCCGGGATCGCGGGGGCGGCGACAGGGACAAGCGGTAAGGAGGGGCGCACCCTCACTTGCATTATACAAGCGATCGGGCGTCTTTACAGACGCCTGACCGCTTGTATGTGAACGGCCATCGCTGGCCGTTTAAAATCCAGGCGGTTTGCTGCTTGTGCGCGCCAGGGGGAGCGGCCGCGAAGGACGTCTAAAGACGCCCACCTGCATCCAGGATACTCCCGTCCGGCCGTCTTTCAACGTTCGGTGGACGGAAGGTGGTTAATGTGGTTTTTTTTCTTACTGAAAAAGACTGTGAATAGAATTTACTAAGATTGGAGCAGACAGAATCTGGTGCAGTTGCTCATAGTAACCAATTAGCATCTCTCCAGTCTGTTTAGTTAATATTTGAAAATGAAAGAAAGGAGCTGATTGGTTGCCATGGACAGCTGCTCCAGAATGTGTCTGCTCCAGTTTTGATTAATTCTCCGTGTGTATCTGTGTAGTGCAATTATATCTTTTATTATAGTGTGAGCCATGTATTCTCTGTACCCCATGCTTACAATTGGTAACTTTAGCAGCATTTCATTATGTATCATTTGATTGTCACAGGCAAGCTCCGCAAATGTTATCAATTGTCTGTTTTGCTCTTGTGTCATTCTAAGTAGGGATGCACCGATACCGAGTATTTGGGGAAGTACTCGCCCAAATACCCCGATACTTGCCTCTAAAACCGGAACTTTTGGTCAGAAGGAAATCTCCCTCTGACCACAAGTGCCAAGGGACCAAGGAAGCCTGGCGAGTTTTGACCCGCCTCCCAGCTTCCTGATTGGCTAGGAAGCTGGCTTACCCTTGTTGCTAGGCAGCCTGGCTTCCTAACCAATAAGGAAGCCAGGTGGCACGTAATGATTGGTCAGCCAGGCTGCCTACGAACAAGTGAAGCCTGCTTCCTTGCCAATCGGGAAGCCGAGAGGCGGGTCATGATGTGCCGCCCGGCTTCCAGATTGGCTTGGAAGCCAGCTTTACTTGCTGGTATGCAGCCTGGCTTCCTGACCAATCAAGAAGCTGGACGGCACCTCATGACTCGCCTCCCGGCTTCCTGATTGGTCAGAAAGCCAGGCAGCTTCGGCAAGTGAAGCCGGTTTTCTTTTGCTAGAACACCAGCTTCACAGGCATCCGGGAAGCCAGGTGACGGGTCATGATCCGCCACCCGACTTAATGATAATCTGTGCACACGACACTGGTACTCTGTATTGGTAAGTATAGGGCAGGGGTAGGCAACCTTGGCACTCCAGCTGTTGTGGAACTACAAGTCCCATGAGGCATTGCAAAACTCTGACAGGCATCAGCATACCTCCCTAAGGCAGAAGCATGCTGGGATTTGTAGTTTCATCACAGCTGGAGTGCCAAGGTTGCCTACCCCTGGTATAGGGTAAAAGAAACGTGGTCCTCGATACCGAAAATGGGTATCGGTGCATCCCTAAGTACAAGGTAATAATTGTGATTTAAATTGTACTGTACAATGTATCTGTTATACAGAATGTAGTGGTGAGAGTAGAACACGGGGGAATTTATCAAAACTGGTGCAGACTGAATCTTGTACAGTTGCCCATAGCAACCAATTGGCTTATCTCTTTAGTTTGTTTAGGTAAGATTTGAAAATGAAAGAGAGAAGCTGATTGGTTGCCAACTGCTCCAGATTTTTTTGTGCTCCAATTTTGATACATTCACTTCGGAATGTTTACATTTATCTGTCATGTGATTTATAACAGATATGGGCTGCTGGAGCTGGAGCTGTACATAGTCCTCCTACCGACTTGGTCTGGAAATCGCAGAAGTCTTGGGGGACAGGAGATGATGTCAAAGTAACTCTCCTAGATTCTACTGGAGAGGTGAGATTGTGTTTTTGTTTGTTTTTTTTTTTTTTCAGTCCTACATTTACTTTTAATATTGGATATTGCCTCCCTTACATTTTTCCCAGCAATGCAGCTTTTTCACTTTTACTTTGTAAGTTCATAATTCTTTTTGGGGTATAAATGCTGACAGTTGCTCTAGTTGCTTTGGTGCTCTTGTGTAGTATTCTGTATTATACATGTTGACAAGAGAATTGGATTATGTCCATTGCTTCCGTTCAGTGCTTTACTTTTATTTATTTTTCTCAAGGAGTGTGCTGAACGAACCCTCTTTAGGATACAGAGGGATGAGGGGGAGACTGATGATGAATTACTGGAAGAGGAGCTATCAGAGCTTCGTGCCAGGGTACGTGTACAGCCTGCTTTCATTTAGTCATTATTATTTCTGGGTGAAGAGACATGAATATGCGGTTTTATACACATTGCTGTTTTTTGTTTGGTGATTCAGCCAAAGCGAAAGAAAAAGAAATGTTGCTTAATGTCATAATGGCCGTATGTACAGGTGAGGCCTCTCGCATGGATTATTGTGTGCATGCTGCCCCCTAGTGCATAATACCAACATGCCATATTCTCCTCATGACTACCATTCTGATTTACTCACATACTGACCGTCATCCCATAGTTTGTAATCCTAATCTAACGGAATTAAGTGCAACTCCAGACATGTCTCATTGATTCTATGAGCCTTCATTTACATTGGGCTGCTTTGTCTCCCTGCTATGTGCATGCATTTTTATTCCCATTGCTCGCTTTCATGGAGTGTTTTTTTGCATCCATTACAATGTAAATGTTCTAACTTGCATAAAGACAGAATACTTAGGAGAGGCAGCTCATCTTTTCCCCCTTCTGAACATTCTCTGTCACTCCCAATGTCACTATTGTTTATTTTATGGTTGTATAGTGTTCTATTGACATTTCAGAAGATGACCAAGCCCCGTGGCTGATTTTATATTTTGAGTCTCCTAACGACACAACACTATTAGATTCACAATTACTACAAATATTAAGTGTATGTTTAAACACAAACCAAGAATATATCTAATGGGCTGAGCTGCTGTCCCAAAACAAGTCTGTCAAAATTAAACAGGGCTCAAATGTCTCAACATTCTATATATGAACACAATATATAATAAACAAAACCCATGTGTTTGTTTTATCTATTGCATTTGTTATTTCTGTAAGGGCTTATTCATCATGTCATATTTTTTTGGTTCCTTATGTGTCCTTGCACACAGCGCATTAAGATCAGTAAACTTGCTCTGTGTTCAGATCCATAAAATCAAAATGCGGAAAATCTGTGTCTGAGGTCCTGTGCGTGGACCGTATTTTACATCGTGCGTGTGTAAACTTTTGTTCCAACGTTAAAATATGCACCCTAGCAGGCAGCTCCTTTTTGCATAGAGTCCTTCATTGCTAGGATGCAGGTGGCTACTTGTAGCATAGAGTCCTTTGTTGCTAGGATGCAGGTGGCTCCTTGTAGCATAGTCCTTCGTTGCTAGGATGCAGGTGGCTCCTTGTAGCATAGTCCTTCGTTGCTAGGATGCAGGTGGCTTCTTGTAGCATAGTCCTTCATTGCTAGGATGCAGGTGGCTCCTTGTAGCATAGAGCCCATTGCTAGGATGCAGGTGGCTCCTTGTAGCATAGTCCTTCGTTGCTAGGATGCAGGTGGCTTCTTGTAGCATAGTCCTTCATTGCTAGGATGCAGGTGGCTCCTTGTAGCATAGAGCCCTTCGTTGCCGGGATGCAGGTGGCTCCTTGTAGCATAGAGCCCTTCGTTCCCAGGATGCAGGTTGCTCCTTGTAGCATAGAGCCCTTCGTTCCCAGGATGCAAGTTGCTCCTTGTAGCATAGAGCCCTTCGTTCCCAGGATGCAGGTGGCTCCTTGTAGCATAGAGCCCTTCGTTCCCAGGATGCAGGTGGCTCCTTGTAGCATAGAGACCATCGTTCCCAGGATGCATGTGGCTCCTTGTAGCATAGAGCCCTTCGTTCCCAGGATGCATGTGGCTCCTTGTAGCATAGAGCCCTTCGTTCCCAGGATGCAGGTGGCTCCTTGTAGCATAGAGACCATCGTTCCCAGGATGCAGGTGGCTCCTTGTAGCATAGAGACCATCGTTCCCAGGATGCAGGTGGCTCCTTGTAGCATAGAGACCATCGTTCCCAGGATGCAGGTGGCTCCTTGTAGCATAGAGACCTTCGTTCTGAGAAGACGCATGTGGCTCTGTGCATTAGAGAGCTTCGTTCTCCGGAGGCAGGTGGCTCCTTGTAGCATAGAGACCATCGTTCCCAGGATGCAGGTGGCTCCTTGTTGCCTAGTGTCTTTATTGCTGTAAAGATGCAAGTGGCTCTGAGCATTCTAGAGTTCTTTGTTGCTAGGACGCAGGTGGCTCTGAGCATTACATGCATTCAGTGTTCAGTGCACTTTTTATGCAGGATCTTGGTGCCAGCTTCTTCCAGCCAAATCCAGTGTATTGCTATATTTTCATACATGCAGCAGATTGAGGAATGGAAGTGCAGCACTGCTATTCAGATGTTGTCCCCAAAACACCACTTCCAATTGACATAAAGAATAGAAATAGAATGAAATTGTTAATATTCTTGAGACTATAGAATCTCTGGTATCGAGCACTAGAGAAAGTGGTGAGATAGGTGGCAAAAATAGTAGCCATCTGCTCAGTTTAAAATATATCTCAGTTGTTGAGTTATCCTACTGCCCATAAGGTTTTGTCTGCATTTAAACTCCTAGTCCCCTGAGGGAAGGTAAGGGAGGGAAACTTTTCTGAAGTGCTCTGCTGGTTCCCTAAGGGATCAGAGAGGTTTGGTCGTATAGCAATTGTAGAAACAAGCCGAAATGTAGAACATTCTGGAGGCATCTAAAGTGAATGTTTCCCATTCTGTCTTGAAATTTAATAGGTGGAGTACTTCCTTGGTCTGGTCCTAAGCTTGTTCCTCAGCATGGTGTCCATGGTGCTTGTTAGTGCCAACATTAAGCCTAACAGGGTTGCTCCTCTGCTTATGTTAAGAGAAGATTTAGCTGTGTCCCTAAAGTGTAACATTTTGGGATGAGTTCCAGTTTGCAGATGCTGTAATCTTGTGTGTGTGCCCCCCCCCCCCCCCCCCCACAC